TAAGTGCAGTCTGCGATTTTCAAACTCACTAAATAGGTGAAAAAACACATTTTTAGGTTATGGGTTGGGTATATTTTGAGTCCCAACACAATCACCTTCATTTTTTGGTAGAGAGAGGCTTAGAAATAACATTTTGAGGTTGCAATCGGATGATCCAGAGTTGAATTTCTCATCGATTGGTGTTGAGAAACCAAGAAATGCTTGGTTCATTTTCTTCTCTTCTCTTTGTAATCTTTAATTGTTGGAGTTTGTATGTATGTTTACTTTGATTCTATGTATATTTACTGATTATGGTGTTTTATAAAACCTATTTCTCAAATCTTTATCAGTAATTATCCTTGATTTTTGCTTTCTGCTTGGGGTTTGGGTTGCTATAGACATATACTTCTCGAATCTTTATCTAGGATGATTATATATTAGTTTGTGAATTCTAGAGATAAATTTAGAGCTAATAATCACTATGGGTATCAGAGTTTAATGCCTCTGTGTTGTTGGTGTTGCACGAGAGATTGTTGATGCAAGCAATATGGTTGTCTCCAACTTTACATTAGACATAACCTCTGTTGTGGAATACTTCGAGCGATACTTGATGATTTTGATGAGTGATTTGAGTCGAGTGCAACTGATCAGTAGGTTTAAGTAGTTGATAGGTGGATGTAATGCAAACCCGTCGAATTTTCTCGGATCCAAAAAATGTATTCTTTTATGTTCATATCTTTTAATTCCCGCATTTACTTTAAACCCATTATAAAACCAAACTCATAAATGAGAGACTTGTGAACAAAGATTTAATAATCACTAATCCTTGTGGAGACGATATGATAAAACTATAAAAAATACTTACTTTTGCTTGTCGCTTTATCGCTTTAGCAACTACTAATCTTTTCCTTATGTCTTTTATAATGAATCATGATTACTCACCCTTTCTATTTGAATGTTGCCTCCACGTGGATAATGTGCAGGTGATCAGGAGTAGTTTATAGAAGCGTTGATGATAACTTCTGAGTGTTTTATTTAGTTTGATACATTAATAGTGTCTTGCTCTGATATGTATCATCGAGTTGGAAACGCTAGTTTCAATGTTATGTTATTTTGGTGTTGATACACCTTATGATTACTTTGATGTTTAAATTAATTTGATTCCAACTTTTGATGAGACCAAAATATTACGAGTTTTTTTTATGAAGAATTTTATTAATCATGATGATTTTGCTGTGATGTTTTAATTTATGTGTTAAAGTTATAAAAGAAATGTTATTTAAATTGTTGTAACCCATGTTACGGAGTAGGATGTATGTTTTATGATGTTTTTATGATGATGTGACACCCTTGAGTGGTGATGTTTATTTAAGTTATTCGTAAATTTATGTGGATTTAGAAGGATGTTACATTAGTGGTATCATAGCAGGTTGGTTCATCCGGCTAGGTTGTCTAATTTTGTTTGTTCCTTGGTACGCGATATGTGTGTAAAACATTGTCGGTGCTTGCTTGCTTGCTTTTCTAATTTCTTGTTTGCAGGAATGGGATTGAAACAAGTGTCGCTTCTCTGAGATGTTTCAGGTATGGAGACTTGGTGCAGCATACTAGTGACTGCAGGAGTGCAGGTGTTGTTGAGGTGGTGTTGTTTCTCGAACTCGAAGAGAATACAAATTCGAGATTCCTGTCTGTCAGTCAAGTTAGGATGTCTTTAAGAGAGAACAATCAGGTATTTTTGATGTTTGCTTCTCGGAGAATAGAGAGCAATGTGACGGTTAGTGATATGCCAGTGGTGTGTAATTCCTAATGTTTTTCCTGAAGATATTTGTGACTCGCCTCCAGAGTATGAATCTAAGCTTTTGAGAGATCATCACCAAGAGTATCATATGAAAGAATATTTTATATATATGGAGGATCTTCTTGAGAGTCATCATCAGAAAAGTTGTATAAAGAGTCATCATATCAAAAGTTTAATCTACCATACGAAACTTTTGTAACAACATGTGAAGAGGGAAAAGGATTCAGTGAAACTCAACCCAAGAGGGAAAAGGAGTCACCGAAACCCAACCCATGTGAAAAGTCGGTTGAAGAAACATCCTCATCTTCCACTGCTTCATCCAAAAATTCATAGGAAAATTCAAGTGAATCATCTTTTACAAGATCAAATAAAGAATCAAATGAAGAATCAAATGAAGAGATAAACATTTTCTTTAAAGCTACATATGAAGAGGATAACAGTGATATAACAACTCTAACTTACAAACAAATTTTTGCCTTAAGTGTTAAGTTTCTTAAGGAAAATGATAAGTTAGAAATAAGAATTTTACCAAACCAAGGATGTCCACAAGGAGAAAATACAATTAGGATGTTAATTTATGTATTTTGTTGAATTAGGATCTTACTTAATGTATTTTGGATGGTGGTTTATGCATTTAGGATACTACTTTATGCATTTTTATACAATTTTATGTATTTAGTTGCACACATTTGGCAACTTAGAGGACCAAATTATTATAAAAAAAACTTAAGAACTAACGTGTTACAAAAAAATAATTTAAAGGACCTCTGATATAATTTTACCTAAAATAATTTATTCAATTGTTTCATCTATGCAAGGACTTGGATCCAACTCTTATTGTCGATATGAAGAGTTTTTTAGTGCATAATTTGTAAATTCGGTTTAAACTCTTGTGAGTTTCCGAAATCTAATTCATATGAATTTTATGTTTTAAAATATAAAAAATAACTCACTCACATTTTTATGGCCAACTTGTTAAAAGGAACAAACTTCAAGCGAAATATACGACTCTTTAGATGTGAGGGTGAGAACATGTGTAACGACGTCAGGCATAGAGATAATGTTGCAATGAGCTCCAAATTGGGACACTTTAGAAGCTTGCATTGATGATACAATAGTGTAAACTAAAGAAATATGATGCTGAGTTTCATGAGAATCAAGAGACGGTTCCCATAAACGCCACCACTTTTCTGATGGGGAAAAGGAAAAGGTGGTAGTATGAAAAAATCCATCATAAAAGGTCTTTAGCACAGTGGTGAAGGTCTTCCGCGGATAGAGAAGATCGTGTACCTGCAATATTAGCACTCAAATATCTAAGTTAATAAAGTAAAAGAGGAGAAACTTGCAAGTGGATAGTGAATTGCACGTCATTGTGACGCGGAGTCACACTTATATAAGAATGGTGGCTAGATATTGTTGTGATATTGGAAATGGCCTCTAAATTGGACCAGTCTTATTGGGTTGTTCGGCCAACCCGAAACAATGATATATGCAATATTAATCCATTAGATATTGTTACGATAATTCAAGATACTAAGCCATATTTTGTTTAATTCATTGATAATATATGGGTGTGGAAGGTAAGTTTTGATGGGAAATATTTGACTAAGAGCGGGTACCTCCAACTTTTGTCTCTCGAAGTAAAACAACAACCTTTCAGGATGCGTGAAACTGGATTTGAAAATTGCACACCTCGACTAGTGTCCAAGTTTTTTTTATGGCAAGTCATTTATAACTCTGTCTTTGTTTGTGTTATTTTTTTATATAGAGGAGTGATTGTCTCTCCTGCATATGTCATTTACGAGGAGGAGAAAAAGAATATTTTTCATTGTTTATTATTGTATCTCGAGCTATTGAGACTTGAATAAGACATGGATGCTACAACATTCAAAGAGGATATTAAGAATCTCACATCAAATAATATGTAGCATAAACATGTGTTAATAAGTGAGAGAAATCACTACTCTATAAGTCGATGCTGCAGAATTTAGTTAGACTCAATCACATGTTTTAATAGAACAATCAACTACCTTAAATTTATAGATATGTCGAAACTCATTGTCAAGAAAATTATTGGTGTGTAAGCTGCCTTGATTAAGTGGTGAAGCTAGATGTCGAGGAACAAATTAATTTTTGAAAAGTGGTGAAGCTAAACATGAAGAACAAATTCATTTTTGAAGAAAATATTATAACTTTTGTGTTTATGCGTGTTCAAGTTGCTAAGCATGATTTTTGGTGACCATTCTATCACTCCCCCAGGGGCGGATACATAGGGGTATAAGATATATTCCTTGGATCCTCAATTTTTTATACCAAAGTATCCTCTATTCTTTTAATCTTTTTTCTTATTCTTAATGTTACTTAGGTTTAACAAAACACAACAAGCAGCAACAACAACCTCTGTCAGTCCGCTTTCTCCGACTCCGCCCTCATCCAGTTCCAGCCTCTTTCCTCCATCCAGTTCCAGGTTTGTTTTGTCCAACTCCAGTATCCCTCAGATTTCAATTAGTTCACTTCTTCAACTTGAATGGGTGTTCTAATCTGCAATCTAAGGCCTGTTTTCAAATTTATTTGCGCCATCCACACTTTTTGTTTTATTACATATGATTACATAATTAATCATAACTTTATTTGGAATATGAGAGAAAAGATGAAAAATCTCTTTAATTGAGTAATAATATAAATCATTTTAAAATATACTTTTTTATTTATTTTAATAAATGTTTTTATAAAAAAAAGAAAAGAATTTAAGTCAGACTATTAAAAGTTTGTTTTACACATAACTTGGACTAACATACTTTTACTATATCCCTAGATCATTGGTAGAAACAACTAAATGCTAATGGTTATATTTGTGAATATGTAAAAATAAATTTTACTTCATATAAAAAATTGAAGTATCAATTTGAGGATGGGAAGGAAATTGTTTGCTACTGCTAGCTCTTGAAATGAGATGATTTGTTTGCTTAAGAAAAATTAGATAATGTAAATTGTAACTTATAATTGTAATTGTGATTTGAATTGTAAAATTAATTGGATTATGATTGTGATTGTAGAATGTTGATCAAATACTTTACACCCGAATCCAAATTTCCAGTGCCAAAGAAATTTACTCTTTCAAATAACGTACAACTAGAAATTCATTCTTCATATAAGGTGTTTAAAAGGGGGGCTTATTTGGAGATGGATCCTGGAAAAAGAAGTCAAATTCTTGAGTATCATCCAAATGATCAAGATGAGGTAAGAAGAACTTACCTTGTGAATGGGCCATGTAAAATTAAATTAACTGAATATGAACCACTGATATTGGGAAAGAGATCGTTCTTTTCAATATAGTTGACATGAAGAGTATAATTGATTGGAATATAATGTAGAAAAAATGATGTTTTTTGTTTGCCTTGTTATGTATGCTACAAAGGTATTAGTAATTCTGCACTTGTGGTGACTGGTTTTAAAAGTTGGAATCTAAAGCATAAGTTGAATAAACATGTTGGTGAGAAACCAAATGGTCATCATAAAAAGTGTGTGAAAGCATGTGAGGATCTTATGAAGAAAAAGCAGAGTATTGAGTTTTCGTATGCAAAATATAGTTTAAAAGAAGCAATAGATTATCTTGTTCGTTTAAAAGCATCACTTGAGGCTGTCAAATATCTTGTTAGAGGCGGATTGACATTTAAGACACATAATGAGGGTGAAAATTCTATTTATAAGGATCATTTTCTAGAGTTTGTAGAAGCCTTGAGGAGAAATAATGAGAAAATAGATGCAGCAATAACAAGTGGTGAGGGAAATTGTAAGATGACTTCTCCTGTTATTCAAAAAGAACTTGCAAATGCATGTGCGGTTGAAACTATTAAGAAGATAGTTGGAGAAATTGGAGATGGCCACTACAAGTGTTGAGCGAGTATTCTCGGGGATGAAATATGTTAAGAATGAGTTGAGAAGTAGAATGGTTAATCTATGGCTAAATATTTTCTTAGTGACATTTGTGGAGAAAGAGATGATTAATACAATCGATGATATGGATATCATCAAGCGTTTCTAAAAAACGAACAAGAGAAAAATACATTTACGATTAGACTAGAATGTTTTCTATTTTTGAATTATAATTGAAGTACTAATACATTTTTATTAAATAATATTATCATATTTCTTATCATTAATTTTTTCGTACATTTTTTTAATATATATTTTACTTATTATGGGAATCTCCTGAATTTTGATTGATTCCGCTTTACTTATTATGGGAATCTCCTGAATTTTGATTGATTCCGCCTCTGAGTCCCCCTCAACTAATTTGAGAGGTGGGTTGGCAAAAATGTAATGTGAATGCTATGATTTTCAATATGGGCGTCCGTGCATCAACCAATTTGAGGAGAATGGGCTTTGGAAGTTTTTTGTGCAATAACAAGATTTCCAATTTGACTTCTTTGAGAGTGATATTATCATATGTGATATCTGAAAGGTATGAAGTGTATCATTGATATATTCCAAGAATGAGATGATCTTGTGTTCATGGAGAACACTTTACTTATAGACTGCTCAAAACTATATTCTCCGTTCATTTATTATAGAGAATGATTGGTGGCGCCGCTTTCCTAATGGAAATGGACGAGGACATGTAAGTGGGTTGTCATTGGCCCGTCATTCCTTCTAACAATCTATATAATGTGGATGTGGAGGTGATCGACTTTTCTATTTGGATATCATTGTGTGTGTATTTCATCTAGGAATTTTTTAATGCACTCAAAGTGTTTTTTAGCCAACACGTGAATTTCTAAAAATATTTTTGAAAATCAAAAATATATTTCCGATACGCACCATTTATCCATATAATTCATTTATTTTTGACATTCATCTTATACTAAAACTAGAAATACATTTCCGGTACAGTTTTACATTATAAAATTTAAGGGTGCGTCCCAGAAATGCACTTTCGGGGGACTTTTTTTATTTTTCATAGAATTTTTTCCCCCTATCTAGGGTGCCATAAGAAATTTTCTTTCTGCTTGCCCGAGTTTGGATCATGGACTCTGCAGTCTAGTTATAGGCCCACTAAGAGCGGTGGTTGACCTTATGTCTTCAAGAAATGCAAATAAAGCTTCCACAAAAATAGAGAATAGATAGTAATATAGTAGTGACCCCGAGTAACACAAAATAGGGACAATATTTGAAAGTTCTCAACCAATAAATCTTAATGTAATTCTTGAAGGCTTAACCACAAAACCAAACATGTTCATGAAAGAAAAGTAACAAACCAATGCATGACAATTAAATTAAATCTCTATGCAATATTCCTTTTTACATCTGCAACATAATCAAGTATCGTCTACTTGTGAATGGAATACAAAGCTTGGGAATGTTGTGGTGATGTCCCTGCGCAACACATGAAAAAACATGTCAAAAAGTGCCATAAAAACAAAATGAAAATTAAGGTAAGATTATTCTCTAAACAGTATTTAGTGACAACTTTAAATTTCTGTTTTTTCAAACATCAACAACCTCCACTACTGTTAGATTCTGTCAATTCTGTCAAAATGTACGCCAAAAACTGAAATAACTTGCGCAGCACTCTTCATTCTAACAGTTTTCTGATTGGTATCATGCATCTTCTCGGTGTCACCACCCATCGACGTAACTTGCGCAACACTCTTCATTTTAACAGTTTTCTGATTGGTATCAAGCGTCTTCTCGGTGTCACCACTCAACGGCGTTCTAAATGTTGCTCTTGCATCGCCATTCTTGCCATCGTTCTTATTGGTTGTTTATCGAATCTCATATACATTAACATAAGTTGATAATAATAAAACGTGACTTCAAATTTACCTTAGATATTGAAGGGTCATGTTCTTGAGAAGTGATGGATGGCGCAAAACAAGGTTTCTCCATTCTTCTTTATCAATCTTGCCATCATGCTTTGTATCGGCTTCCTCAAAAGTCTGAAGAAATCAAAAACTCAATGTTGAAACAAACTAGTCTTTTTTTCCACTTCTTATAAAGAATACTCCAATCCACATGAAAAACATTGATACTACTAATTAGTAAGCATTCACATTAACGGAAAAAAGGGGTAGCACCTTGTCGATTATGCTCTCTATAACATCATCGGATAGGTTCATGCCAGATTCAGCAAGTGTAGCAACTACCATTTGCTTCACCTTTACATAATAAAAAACAGATAAAAATCAGGCTTGTTCCAAGTTCCAACCAAACAAGCAAAAATTTGAGGAAAAATAAGATCTAAAGAATGATAATCAATCACCTCTTGTCTTTCAATAAAACCCTGCTGCTTGAGATCATACAACTGAAAGGAAACTGAAACAAGATATTACATGGTTTTAATTTTTGTATATTTTGAAAAAAAGCAAGTGAGGTGAAGTAAAGTAAAGAATTGAAGTAACATACACTCAATCTTTTTATCAATTGGGGCATTTGGATGGAAAACGGAGAGAGCACGAGCAAACTCTTCGAAGCCAAGTATCCCATTGTGCTTTGTATCAAACAAATCAAATACCTACCCAGAGATAAGCTCATATGAGATATTAACAACTTGAAGCAATTTACGATATTAGTATGAGATAAGACTTGGTTGTTGTTGTATACTAATGTGATCAGAGAAAGGAATTTCATAGTCAAAGAAATGTCAAACACAGATTAAAAGAAAAGATGGGAAAAGCATACCCGATCAGCAAACAAACTTTCTTTTTTATTCGTCTTGAATAATGCCAATTGAAACTCTTCCTGCAAATGATGCAATATGCATATTAATACTGGTATTGTAAGAAAAAAAGTGAAAATTGAATATAGCATCTCACATATTTTACAATGACATAGGAAGTGAACAATAGAATTTAGCGCATTGATATAGAATGATTAAAAACACATTTTATTTTTGCATTGAAAAAGCTCAATCAACAAAATTAATTCTACGCCAAAACCACAAGTTGAATGGTGATAAAACAGACAAACCTTGTTGATCAGTCCATCGTCAATCACCGCACTACTGATCTTTTTAAAGAGCTCGTAAAGTGCTTCGATTTCACTTACACTGACTGCGTACACAAGAAAAACAAATATCTATCATCATCCATGTCATTGTCTATTTATTTCCAACAATATTGGTATGAACAGAATCCACGAATAAAATACAGGAGCATAACATCAGATACGTGGTTTCAAAATCAAAAGGGAATGACATAATATACAAGATATTAGAAGCATATATTCAAATCAAAATATAAGAACAGTAGTTACAATAAATGCACTATAAGCAAAAAGTTAGGCGGACGCATACAAACGGTCTCCCTCGCAAGGATTTCAGGATCTTCAAGACCAGTTGTCTGCTTATATAAATCAAGGTCACAACATCGTACTAGAGGAGCAAACAAATGCTTAAATCCCTCTATGCACTGCAACATGATATCTTTTGCAACTCAAAATCAAAGCACTCCATAGCTGTCCCAAAAACAAGACAATTAGTCATTCAATTTAGTTAATTTCTCATTAAGTCATCTTTAGCAAGCAATGAGCAACTAAACCTTTTAACCATTTCCAATATTAGTTGGCCAAGCCCAAATGTCGAGATCTGCAAAATTTTGAGGAAACACCATCCAAAAACTCTAGTTATAGAATCAAAGTAAAATATCTAACATTTTACAAAAGAATGCAAACAAAAATGGAAACACAAAAGAACAAGTCCCAAGCTCTAACGGATCAGAGTTGTCTTAAGTTTTTGGAGGCCATATGTAGGTTAGTCACGGTTCAACCATGACAATACAATTAGAGACCCTATTTAACCACAATTTAACCGTGACAAATATTTTATAAGACTACTAGTATTTAGTTACAATTTAACCGTGACAAATTTTGGGCCTTGTACGGCAATCCGCCTCGCACGCCCTTAAAGACGGTCATGCTGATTAGGATCTGAACTTAACTGCAATTTACTTATTAGATCAAACTAAAAAACACTCCAAACTCAAAGACTACAAACTATGTATTGCTTTCTTCCCATCAATGATTCCTATATTTGACCAAATTCATAACAAAACTTAATACAACAAACAGAAAACCTTACTTTCTTACTCCTTGGACCGAATAAGTTTAATCCATTAACTAATTGCTAATATAAATTTTTTGTAAAGATCAAAACAATTCCATTTCTCTATAGCACCTAAGATTGTCACACATGCAGCATCACATAGATAACATGCCAAAATCACCTCAAGACAATTTCAAGATAAGAATTAAGTAATCCAATACCCTAAGACCCAAAAAAACGAAATTAGAAAACATTGAAGGCAGTTAGATTCTGAATCCAAGGCAATTCCCATACCCACGCGCACACGGGAAGTTCATGGATCTATATGATTCAGACATAAATCAATCCGAAGAAACAAAAAAAGACATAAAACATAAGGAAAATTCAAGAACCCCAAATCAGAATTTGCGATATTGACGCTATGTTGTAAGATTTGTGAGCGAGAAAAGAAGTGGATATGGTGAAAAATCTTACCTCGATGGAAGAGGATCAGAGAAAAAACAGAGATTTTGGAAGTTTAGGGGAATAGCGAAGAAGGGTTGTGTTTTCTGTTCTCTGAAACTCTTCTCGCGGTAGTTGAGACGAATCAAATGGAGTGTGGTGGTGGGGAAAGTGATATGAAGTATGATTGATGATTGATCTGATGAGAGATGGGGTACATCTTCGGACAAATTCAATGCTGACACATTAGTATTACTATTTCTTCGGTTTTAAAATCAGTGTAGTTTTAATATAATAATTACCACTTTTTCAATTGTGTTTTTTATTTTTTATTTTCTATATTATTTTTAATATTTTAATACAATTAATTTTATAAAAGTGTAATATCTTATAATAATATTATTTTATTTTTTAATTTGTATATAAAAAATTTAAATGATAATTATTTTAAAATTGAGGTAGTATTTTTTAGGGTGTGTTTTTTCAAGTATAAAAAAATATACTCATATTCTTTGAATTATTATTTTTAGAATTAATATTTTTATCTAAAGGCGATAAAACGAGTCTGGTCCATTGGATATGTATGTTTTACCCGCACTTTAATACAGGACGGACTAAGGGTCTAGATCCTCATCTTCTAATGTGTATATCCCGTTCTGCTCTGTTTTTTTCACGCGCTTTTGCGGGCATGTGATTTTACATAAATTTTTGTGTTTTTAAACTAAAAAGGTGTAGCGTCTGCGAACTTTCGCCGTCCTGCCCTAACTTTTTTGCGGAGCGAGCCTAGGTTTTAGGTCCACATTCTCTACTATGTATGTCCCGCTCAGCCCCATTTTCCTACGGGCTTTTGTGGTACGGGCTTAAACGGGACGGACATGTCCGTTTGCCAACCCTATTCCTATCTATGTGGTTGGATAAAAATTAAAATTCTTGGGAATGACTACATATTTGAATTTTTTTTGAATAATTATTATAAAAAAAATCTCAAATGACCACATTTTCAAAAAAAAAATTCAAAATACCCATTTTTTAAACAAATTTTTTTTGCTACACAGAGATCAAGCCACTGTGTATGGTGCATACATGTAAAATAAAGAGGAGGCGTCACACTGCATGGGTTGTCCTCCTATGTAGTGTCATGCAGTGTGGCACATGCATGCACTTTTTAAGGAGGGGGCGTCACCCTAGGTGGCTTGACAGTTGTTTTTGGTTTTCTATAAATACAACCACCCATCTTCACCATTTTCACACCTCTTCTCACATCACTCTTAACATGTATTCCACTCCCTTGCCAAGGTTTTCACTGATCAAAAGAGATGCTCATGTTATTTTTTCACCGATAAAGCCTCTGATGAAGATCAAACTCTGAAACACGCAAACGTTTGAGCATTTTCAGAGATATTTGATTCGCTGGTTGGAATGAGACATTCCTGATGGTGAACAAATCAAAAAAATTGAAAGATAAATTACGGCGAGGAACAAAAATGGAGTAACTCGTTCATGAAAAACCGTGAGAAACGACATTGATGTCCTTATGATGATGCTTGGACCAGTTGATATTGTGTTGATAGTTTTAATATCTAGTTATTATGATATGTTTAGTTGTTTTGTCTGCTTATCGTGTTGTTGTGTTTTGTATAGTTGTCTTGAGTTTGTTGTGTTGTAATTTTTTGGGTCATTATCTGAAGGTTTTTGTAATTGAATGTTAACTTGAACACGAAATTGAAATTTCTTGCTTACAACAAATAAATTACTCTAGAAAGTATGCCATAAAAAAATTATGCTGCAGAGTTATACTAATATTCGGACAATTTTTTCGATTGTGTCCGGGAAGAAGACATGTACTGCATAATCTTATCATTTTATTTTCTGTATCCATTTTAGTTCTAATACGTGTGCTATTTGGGTGACTTTTTTTATTCCTTCGCATTTGTTCATTGTGCCAAACAATACCCCCTTGATAAGCAGGCCGATAATCCTCATTTGCCAACATGGAGAAGGTATTGATGTACACATTTAATATGCTCTCGACTGTGTAAATGGGGGATATATGTCCTCTTGGGTCCAAGTGAACATGCTGCTATGAATGAGAACAAGGCATGCAAAATGCTTGAAACTTTTCGTACTCGCACCAACTTCTATCTAGTTCGACCCGATAGTATCCCATTGGCCTCCTCTTATTATGATCCATTGTCTCTTGTACACTGAACCAACCTTTAATACGGTCAAACACAGTGACACCATGAGTGTTAGCTTTGGCAGCCTCAATATCAAGCGAGTCATAACAGATCCATAACACCTCAGGGAATTCAACAGATAGGGGTGAGGCAAGGGATGATAAAGGCGGGAGCATTTTTGTCATACAGAAGGATCTTTAGGTTGAGAGGGACGTTAGTAAAAATATGTATCTATGCATTGTGTGCTTTTAAATATTAATATAAAATATTTTTGTTTACTTTTATTACTATGGTATAAAAATTTAAAAAAGACAACACAATTGTCAATCCACTTTAACTTACATGCATGTGCCACACTACATGACACTATATAGGAGCACAAGTCATGCAGTGTGGCACCTCATCATATTTTTGCATGCATGTGCTACACAGGGTGACTCCTCCTCTGTATGGTAAAAAAATTTGTTTGAAAAGTGGTTACTTTCGTAATTTTTTGAAAAAGTGGTTATTTAAGAAATTATTTTGAAAAAAATCGTTTTATTAAAAAAATTCTACATATTTATTTAATTAAAAAATTATTTAAAATAAAAATAATATTAATATGTGAGTAATAGTGGAAAGTTATAGGTAGTTGAGTTTATCCCTATGGGAATGTTGGATTTCACCATTTAAGCATGAGAATAAGTATGAGAAAAATTATGTGCAAACAACAGTCCTGAGAATAAAAAATACCTGAGAACAATTTTTAAAATCTTAAAACAAACATGGGATTGAAATATTTCCAATGTCATATTCCCGAAAATGTAATTTCAATCCTTAAAACAAACACACTCTTAGACAAATATTCTTGTTAAATTTTGTTATTCAATATTTATTTATATATTTATATTTAGAAGAATCATGTTAAACTAGTTCAATCAGATATTGGGATTTGAGTTTGAATCTGCGATATCTTACTTATTAGCATTTTAAAAAGTGAATCAACAACTAGACTATTTGGAGAGAAAAAATTAAAGGAGCTTTTAAATTATGTTTAATTTGATAGTATAAAAGTGAATTTAATTTTAAGTATGGTTTTTTAATGAAATTTGATTTTTATTATATCAAATTTATCTCTAATTTAGATTTAGCTAAAATGGAAAAAGGAGTCTCTTCGAATCATATATGAAATTCTGGTATCAGATATATGATGTCGAATGAGATGTCACGACATAAATATCTGTTTGCAAATAAAGTGCAGTAAAATCAAAAGCAGTAAAAACATAAGAGATTGTTCACCTAGTTCAGTGTACAACAACACCTACTCTGAGGGCTACCAAGTCAGGGACAAGTTCACTAAATAGTATCAATTCATAGACCCTCAGTAAACAACCAGTTTACAATCTAATCATTTAATCATTTTGCCCTTGCAGTTGACTGTAGATCAAATGGAGCTTTTGACTATGCAAATTGGCACTGTGAGTCTTGAAACTTGGCATGTAGGTGCTTGAGAATGTATATAGGCCTATGAGACTTGATTGAACCATTGAAAACCCCAAATTCCTTGAAAGAACCAAAACCCTAATTTTAACTTGACTGCCTTAGGAGGTGACTTGACTGTACAACCCTTGAGCCATTTTGAGCAATTTGAAGATCATTCTTGACATGTCTTGAGGAATATGGGAGGGAAAATTTTGGGGGTACAACAGTTGCCCCTGTTCAATTCTCTTAAACCTGAGGATATAGATTGGCTTTCGAGCCTTTCGTGATCCGAAGGTGG